TAAAAATGGGCGTTATGTTTCCCCTTTTCGAGTCAGAGGGAACTTCCCCGGACTGCCACAACTTCTCAGATATGATGGACAGTAGCTTAGCCACTTCATCCGTCAGTTCCCTCAGGACCTGCGGATGCATCTCATCAGGCAGGTCCCATGGACTTGTGCACCTTCAGGTTCCTTAGATGGTCTTGAACCTGATCTTCTCCTATAGTGGGCGGTTCTTCATTCTCCCAGTCCCTTGCCTTTGCCTTCCGCAACTTGGGCCATGTGGCTGGAGCCACACTTTACTTACTGGTGAAGACTGAGGCAAAAAGTCATTGAGTACCTCAGCCTTCTCCATATCCCGGGTAACCAGGTCTCCTGTTTTCTTCTGGAGAAGGCCTACATTTTCCCTAGTCTTCCTTTTATCACTGACATACCTACAGAAGCTTTTCTTGTTGCCCTTGATGTCCCTGGCCAGATTTAATTCTATCAGGGCTTTAGCTTTCCTAACCTGATCCCTGGCTGCTCGGACAATTTCTCCATATTCCACCCAGGCTACCTGTCCTTGTTTCTACCCTCTATAGGCTTCCCTTTTGTGTTCAAGTTTGTCCAGGAACTCCTTGTTCATCCATGCAGGCCTCCTGGCGGTTTTGCTCCACTTCCTCTTGGCTAGGATGCATCGCTCCTGAGCTTGGAGGAGGTGATCCTTGCATATTAACCAGCTTGCTTGGGCCCCTCTTCCCTCCAGGGCTTTATCCCATGGTATTCTACCAAGCAGCTCCCTGAAGAGGCTAAAGTCTGCTCTCTTGAAGTCCAGGGTACTGAGCTTGCTGTGCACCCTCCTTGCTGTCTTAAGGATCTTGAACTCCACCATTTCATGGTCGCTGCAGCCAAGGCTGCCCTTGAGCTTCACTTTCCCCACCAGCCCCTCCTTGTTGGTGAGAACAAGGTCCAGCATAGCACCTCTCCTCGTTGGCTCCTCCCTCACTTAATGCATTCCAGGAACCTCCTGGATTGCTTATGCCCCACTGTTTTGTCCCTCCAGCAGATATTACGGTGGCTGAAGTCCCCCATGAGAACTAAGGCTTGTAAACATGAGGCTGTTCCTATCTGTCTATAGAAGGCCTCATCCACTTGGTCTTCCTGGTTGGGTGGCCAGTAGCAGACCCCCACTATAATGTCACCTGTCCCTGCCCTCCCTTTAATCCTGACCCGTGGTTGGCTCCTCATCCATACCCAGGTGGAGCTCCATGCACTCCATGGACCTACCAACAGGGACTAAGGGACTTTGGATCACTTATGATTACTAATTCATTAGGCTTAGGAGACCTTGCATGCTGACAGAAGACTTAATGGTCTTTTTAAACTCTTTCTTTAAAATAATGGTGAATTTACTGAATAAATTTTGACATCTTAGGCAGCCGTGACTGTAAAGACCACTAGAAGACAGAAGAACCACTTAATCACAGTGTCTCTATGGTAGTCCAGGTCCATTTACTTATATGGATAGAGTAATTAAGTAAGTTGCAAACAGCAACAGTATGTCATTGAGCAGGTACTGAGCAGTAGACCAATTTAAAAAAAAAAAATCATCAAATTTCCTCCATGCACTTCTGCATTTCCTTTAAAGGTGGCAATCAACTAACTCTCATACCTCTTCCATGCGTTCAATCAGCCGGTCCAGTTCACCAATTCTCTGGTCTTTTTCCTGTATGCTTGTTTCTGTAATCTGCATCTTCTTATTTGCCTCTTCAATAGCCTTCAGAAGCCGATTCGTTTCTTCCTTCAAATAAGAACACTTACAGTCACATTAACATCCAATATATTCATGAGGAATATTTTTTTCCCTTCCTTTTTATGCCATAGAGCCAGGCTAATAGCTTTTAAGCAGCGCTCAAAGCTTTTCACTACACCTGCCCGGAAGCCTTAAGGAGTTGTGACACTAGATGTGAATTGTCTAGAACATAAGATTTGGGGCATTTTGAAGTGCATAGGTATTCATAAAGCATCATTATGAAAATCTGAGAAAAAGTTTTACCCATTTCTTAGATATTTTTTTTTTCCCTTCTGAGGATGCTGCGAAGTAACACCATAAGAAAAATTTGCTGTTGCAGAAGATAGCATTTTAAACACCAAAGTCTGCCACATTCATCTTTGTACTTTCCTCACATATAAAACAATATGAATAGAAAGAGACTGGGGAACCTACCTTCAATCTCAGTCATTATCTATCTTTATTAGTTAGAAAAATGACTAACTGCTCATAGAAAGGTTTTACTTTGGGGTAAAGGGAAAGCAGGGGACAGGAAGAGTTCTTGCTACAGTAGTGTCCAGTGAAGTTGTTCCCCCTCCCCTTCTTAAACTATCACTAAAATTAGGCATTATATTTTCCTTTTTTAGAGATTCAGAAGTTAAAATAACCCCAACTTACCCCATTTCAGATTTTGAAATCTACATTATCATTACTGTTACTGTGTTTGAACACATTATTTTCTTAGCCCTACAACCCCAAAAGCTTGGAAAGCTTAGTAACTGTGGCATGACTAGTCAGAGACAGGAGTGAAGGAACACAGTGAAGGAAGTAATTGAGAAGTGACACCCAAGCTAAGCACCACTCTTACAGACTGGCTTATACATACTAGGAGGATTTCTTTCTCAGCTTTGTGTTTCTGCTCCTCTTCTCGCATTTTTTCCTCATACTGACTATACAGTTTTCTTGTCATCTCTCTCATGACTTCAGCATTGGCTTCCTGTGACGATTCCACCTATGAGAGAGGAAAGTTGACCCATCAGTCAGTACAGCACTACTGGCAGCAGGAGAAATGGAGTTCGCATGATGTAAGAATAACACTTTGAACTTCAGATCCACCTTGTTATAAATTTGACACTGTTGAAGCAGATTATCATTTGCATGAAGACCATTTACAACCTCAGCCAGTATACAAGTCATTTGAATTTGTAGAAGTTACCATTTCATCAAGTTTCATGTTGTCTGAATTTAACTAGTCATTGCTTATCCAAGACCAGGCTATGCCTATTTACTGAGCCCTTCCATAGCAGCCTCCAAGTCACTCCATTTGTTTCCCCATTGAAAAGATACTGTCTGCCCCCATTTTACAGAAGCATATATTAGAGGTGGTCTAGACTCAACTCCTGTTTCTAAATGACCATGAACACTCAAAGGAATAATTATAGCTGGACCTAAGTATGTGTTGTTAACTAGAAGACAGAGATGTACCCTCCCTCCTCTCTCTTGCTTTTACACATACAGCTCTTTGGGTAGGCACAAGAACTCGGCTGACCATGGAGCAAAGCAGATCAGGGAACAGTCAGACTTAAAATTAATATTCCCAGGGGTGTGGAAGGGTTAATTTTTAACCACAGGACCAGAAACTTTACTACTGCTCCAGGGAAGAGGGCAGGAATGGTAGTTCAGAGACAGGATTTCCCACTTCTGTTGGCTCAAAACACTGACTGAACCACACCCTCAGTGATTAAACACCAGATACGATATTGACAGCTTAAATACATCTACTCTGTAAACCACAATAAAAGCAAAGTAAAATAGCTAGTCCAGGACTTAGTTCTCTTACTAGAGATGCTATAAATCAGACAAGGTTGTAGTGAAATGCTGTGGGTGCTACAAAAATGTCAGGAAGAGAAGGAATAAAGTGTTCCCTGCTGATCACTGCAGTTTACACAGCTACAAAATACCTTGTTCTGGTGATTAAGGTTTTGGGGTTTGTTTTGGTTTGGTTGTTTATTTTTTGGTTTTGGTTTGTTTTTTTTTTTCATTTCAAGGACTGAAAGATTTATTAAACCCTTGTGTTTATCTTGCATGGTGGGAACAAGCTGTTTTACTACCCTGTAGGGTAACAACAATGTATTTCATCCTTTGAAAAGGGACTGAGCTCTGAAGAACTCCACTTGTACTGCAATTGTCCCCTGTGGCATCTCACCTAGACCAACACTGGGGCAAGGGTAGTAACCTGCGCTTTGTGAAAGGGAGTGGAGTTAAATTAAGTTTCAGTACAACACAAAACCTTCCACATTTCAGGAAGTCTGAAAGAGTCATACAATTCAGAAAAAGCCAACAATGAAAACCCAGAGTCCTTAAGATACATTGAACTGGAATATGATCTCTGGCACTGTTTCTCCATCATTCCTTTACTTCTAGCTTGAGCAGTGAGGAGAGTAAAAACAAGCATAAAAAGGTAGATGCATCAGGGTATCTGTTATAGTACTTTCAAGCAACGTCTCCAACCTCAGTTATTACTATGATTGTATGAATAAACCGAACCTACTTAATAAGCTACATAAGCAGCTTAATAAGCTACCCAGAAAATAATAATGGCATACAGTAGTTACCACTTTTCACCTACTAACCTCCCAGATTCCACACCATCCTCTTACATTCACCCCTGGAATTAAATCCCAGATGTCTTGGCATCTTTGATACACAATTTTATGTTTAACTTTCAAAGTCAGCAATGAGGTATTTTATCCTCTAACTTTGTAATAAAACTGAAACTTTGAGGGCAAAATTTAAACTTTTTCCTCGTTAGGGCAGGGCATGTATTCTACAGACCTTGACATGCTTGAAGATAAACAAATCCTTAAGCATTCAGCTGAACTAGGACTTAACCTGCAGTTCTCTGCCCTTAAAAGCAGACATACCTTTCCCTGACATGTTGGTGCATGTAAATTTCTTTTGTAATGTAAATTGTTTTGAAATCTTAATTGCATCAGCTTTGCTTTCTTCTTTTACTTGGTTTTTCCCTCTTTTTATTTCCTGCTGAAACCATAGCAGGTACAAAATACATCTACTTTTGTAGCCTGTAAAGCCTTACTATGGGAGGAAACTAAAACATGAATTGTAAGTTGAAATACACTTATGTTAATGTTTTCTCTTTTAACCATTCATCATGAAGCACAAATGCAAGTCACTAGACAGCCAAAAAGAAACATCGTCTCTGACAAACTTAAACATGAATAGACCAACAGTCACCTTAATTTCACAATGACAAATTCTGATACAGTACTATATCCAAATCAGTCTGTTCTGAGCAATTTTAGGTTTGGGTTTTTTTGTGTGTGTGTGGTTTTTAGTTTGTTTGTTTTTAAAAATTAGGTTAAAGGAATACATTTGGCAGGTGAAGAGAGAAAACAGTCAAGCTTTCTGGCATATAAAACCTTCCAGTTTGTGTTTTATTCCCTTGCATTTCTCTGAAAGAAATAGCTTAATTCTCTTTCCAAGACACTTGCTGTTACAGCACGTATCTGCTGACCATATGCTCCTAAGACTTAACAGATTACCTATTAAAATTTATGCAATACCAAATAAACAAATGCAACATCAAGAAATTCTTACAGCACTGTGTAGAGTTATAATATTCCTTTACTTAACAGAAATGGATACTAATAACCATTTAATGGTTTGAATTTTCACCTGCCAACATCCCTGAATGGTAAACCCATGTTATGGAAAGACTGACTGCTGTCAGCTGAGATTCTTTGTTATTAAAACAGTATTGATTCACAGGAGTGTGTGAGCTCCAGGGAATGATGAAAGGATGAAGAATGAAGAACCCTTTACAAATAAGGCCAAGGAATTCATTTAACACACCCCCAATGCCCTTACTGTGCAACATTTTTAGGGAAGTCTATATACCGCACCTTTAATTTCAGTAACTGATTTTCGATTTGTGCTGTTTCCAGTTGCTTTTGCTTCTCTCTCAACTTTTCCATAGATTGTTCATGTGTGTGTTTTAAACTCCTTATTTGTTCCCTTATGTCAGTGTTCTCCAATGTAACATCCACTAGAGTTTTCTAGAAGAAAGAGGCAAATCACGTATTAAAAATCATAAATAATTTGGTGAACTGATACAGTCAAGAGATTATGGAACAGACAGAACTTTTAAGAGTTTCCTGATGTATCAATGCAGTGTGAACAGTTTTGCAAGTTTTAACATTTAAAATTATGGATTTTGTTGCATTTAGTTTGTTAGAAGGTATTTCCATGAGAATATGCTCAGTGAAATCAAGTCCTGGAACACTACAAAAAAAGAGAAAGGAACATTGATACATTTCATTATGAATGCTACTCCCAACAATCTTCCTTTCTTCTCTCCAAGGGCCATGCTATACATATTAAATGCACTAGACTAAGAAAAACTGTGACACACAAGAAAGCAGGAACATTAAGTTGTTCAGCTCAGATACTTGGGAATTTGGAAGTCTTAAACAGAAAATTCATCCCCACCTTCTCCCTCCCCCTACATTTCACAGGTATGTAAAGTCTCACAAGTGTTTAGCGTTCAAACATGCCACTTTCATTTCTGTTAAGCAGTGAGGGTAGGAATAAGTCAGGAGATGTACTGTTTTACACAATACAGAACAAATCCCATTTTCACCTTAGATATTTTGTAGAGACATGACTAGTGGCATTAGTCTGCTGCAGATCACTGTCTCTTTATTGTACACTATTTTTAACAGGTTTTTAAAAAACATAGGTGTTGGAATGTTTTTTCTTCTCAGTTTCCTAAATTAGCTGCTTTAGATACCCAAGACAGTACTTTATGGACTTGTTTAGTGTTAGAATCTATATTTGTCATCCATGTTTTATGTATGCTTTTAAATCCATGGCAGAAAAAGCAGTTGTCAGCTGTGAAACAGCTATTAAAATGTACCTGCAAGTCTATTGAAGCTGATGTCAGGGAGCTGTTCATTTCACTAAAGCTATCTAAGGCTGCAGCCTGCACTCGGACATGATTCTCTAAGGATTCCTGATGAGCATTTGTCACCTGAGCAGGAAACAAAAAAAAAAGTTTTATATAGAGTAATGATCAAGTTTACCTATTCTTTCAAAGGGAGCTACAGAAGAGAAAGACCCCATGGTTAATTTTCACAGTACTGGGATGCTTAAAATATACAGGCCTCAAACCATATTCTTGCACCTCAGAAACAAACAAATAAAACTTATAATCCACATATGCTAACAGAAATAAGGCACAAGTATCGATGTTTCTTGCTAGTCTGTAATCACTGTAAAAGCTGTTCTTTTTGAAAGGACAAGAGGACATTTGGCAGATATCTATTCAGAAGGTTTATATACACAGAGTGGGCAGATTGTAAAAAGTCACAGAGTGAAAAGCAGAGGAATGCAAGAAATTAGGAAGTCTATTTGAGTGAACTGTAGAATTGCCTTAATTAAGAAGGAACTGACTAATCAGGTACGTAAAGAAGCAACATCAAGAAGACTTAAGGATAAAACAATATGAAGCAGGTAGGAGAAGTCAGCAGAGAGCTTTGTTATGTGAAAATTTGTCATCTTCTGTTAGGTACACATACATGCTTAAGAAATGGAGAGGAAAAGGCAGGCACAAAATGACATCATTTAAGAGCAGACCAAAATCGAAACAGTGTAAATAATTATGAACCATCCAATAATAAAGAGGGAAAAAAAATATTACTAATGGAGGCCCAACTTGCATTCTTAGATGGACCAGATTCGTTTCATGATAAAAACATAAGAACACTAGGGACTGATATGGAGAACAGTAAGTGTTTAGTAACCAAGTCATACACAGATTAGGTCAGCATAGAGAGTAGAAGCCACGTAGTTACAGTTAACCCTATATAAACTTGTGCTCATGTAAACACAAACAAACAAAGAAAAGCATAAATGCTTTGGATGGATTAAGGAAGTTACAAGATAAGAAGCTGAGTGAAGAAGCATACTGCCCAGGGCAGGATATTGGAAGTACAAATTTCAAACAAACTTTATGAACAAAAAGTAGTCCCAGAAATTGATAGGAAAAAAGCATAGTGATTCAAAGCTGAAGCAAAGAGAATATAAAGGATTTTAAACAGGATCCCCAAATAGCATGAAAGATGGCAGTCATGTAAAGCCAAAACCAAAACCAAACCAACCAAACAAAAAAGCATATATTATTAGGTAGAATAAGACTTGTGCTTTCTTTCAGGCAGTCTAAAGTATTAAAAAAGGGGGGAGGGCATCTCACAATGTGCCATTTATATCAGAAGGAATGCTTCATAAACTGCTAATTTGCTGCAGAACTAGAAATTCTGTCAGAGCTGGTCAGAAACCCTCAATTAAGAGAGATGTTCAGGCTCATGCAGGATTTCTGCTGGTCTGACAGAAAATCTGGAAGTGCAGGATATCACCACTGCTATTCAGTAAGGATCATCAGCAAAGATGACAAAACTGCATTTGAATCAGCATTTGCCTACATGTATACTGGGTGGGAGATTCACCTTGTTGGAATCATTAAGACTATTTAACACAGTTCGCAGAAATTCAGTTTTCTCTCCCTCCTCCTCTCAAGTCAGGGTGATTTTGTTGTTGTTGTTTTTTTGAGACTAGTTGCCACAAAATACAAGTACTGGTTTAACAGCAAGTTCTGATTTTTATACATGATACAGCATGCGGGGAACGGACAGACTCCAAATGAGGATGGCAGAAAGGCACAAGTCAGGGCCTCAGTCCCTTGAAGTCAGAGTATGTTTAATTGCCAAAGCTTCATCTGAACCAGGGCTGTGAAAATCAATGTTGAATATATAATCCACAGCAAGTTTTCAGGGAGATTTTTTGGACCAAAGAGCTAGCAGTGTAATATGAAGGATACTTCTACAGACTGCAGCAGCTTTTATTGCTAGAGCAGCATGTCAGAAGAAAGAGAGGTCATCAAATGACCATTGAAAGGTTCCATTAACAAGCAAAAGGAAGCCATTTTTAGCACTGTCAAGAGCTTCAAGTAGCAATATTCTTTAGTATTAGTGTTTAAACAATAAAGTCAGTAAAACAGAGCAAAGTCTGTTGAAATGACACCAACTAAGTTACATGTTACTCCTAATTATGTTTTAAGTTATTTATTCAATTCACCTGGCAGCTTACTGGTACAAACATCTCCACTAATTACCAATACACACAGACAATGCTATCAAGATCATTATTTTATTTCCAAGAAGCAGGCAATGAGTAATTCCATATGCAAAAGCAACCCTGCCCTACTTTACCTTCCAGGAGGAAAAAATAAATAAAGTACAGATGTCACATAGAACAATGAACTGGAGTGGTTTGAGAAATTATTTGTGTTCTGTTGAAGAAAAAAAAAAAAGTTTCTAGATAACACTGGGATGGTTATTCTCATATGCTTTCCC